GGGCGGCGGCGCGGGGCGCACGGCGCTGCTGCGCCCGCGGCGGGGCTCGGCCGGCCGCGTGTCCTGCGGCTGCGGGGGGCTGCACACCGAGGGTGAGCGGGGCGAGCTGGGAGGGAGGGGACGGAGCTGCTGCCCTTGGGAGGGCGCGGGGCGGACGCGTGCGCGCCCCCCCCTCCGCAACATCCCGGGCAGCACGTGGGGCCGGAGGGGGCTTTGCCTGCCCCTTCCTCTTCCCCTACCGCCCCTTCCCTTAACCCCATTCCCTCTTTCCCTAACTCTCATTTTCCCTGTATCCCCCCTTTCCCTTGACCCCTCTTTACACTGACCCCTTCTTTCCTTACTCCCGCCTTTACCTTCCCCTCGTTCTCTACCCTCTCCTTCCTTAGTCTCCCCTTTCTCTAACCACCCTTTTCTACCACCCCTTTTCCCTAGCTTTCTTTTTCCTAACCCCTCCCTTTTGCTAAGCCCCCCTTTTCCCTAACCTCCCCCTTTCCCTAACTCCCCTCTTTCCTTAACCCACATTTTTTCCTCAACCCCCTTTCATTAACCCCACCCATTTATTAACCTCCCCTTTCCCTAGCTCCCCCTTTTTCCTTAACCTTCTCTCCTCTTTTTAACCCCCCTTGCCCTAACCCCCCTAACCCCCCTTACCCTCCCTTTCCCTAACCCTCCTTTCCCAACTCCTGCTTTCCCAAATCCCCCCTTTTCCCTAACACCCTTTTCTTTCCCCACCAGGAGACAAAGCCTTCGCCCAGTTCCTGACGGACGAGATCAAGGAGGAGAAGAAGATCCAGAAGCACAAGTCCCTGCCCAAGGTCTCCGGGGGTTGGGAGCTGGAGGTCCATGGCACAGAGGCCAGGCTGGTGCGGAAGATCGCCGGGGAAAAGTGAGTGGGATTTGGGAATGGCCCATTCCCTGTGCCTGGGGGCAGGTGGATCACAGTGACCAGGGTTCTCCATGTGCTCATGCCCCGAAGTGGATGGTGCAGAGTCCTTTCATTTTACCACTTTGGACCAAAGGCACTTTTTTTCCCCACCAGTTTGTTACTGTATTTTGTGTTACAAAGTTTCACAGGGTCTTCCTGTGTTAAAAATAACGGTTCAGTAAAACTGGGAAAAGGTTTGTGAGAGCACTTGGTGGGAGCAGCTTCTCCCAGGTGTGTCCTTACCCACGTTTGTTCACGCTGTGTGAATTCTGAGCAAAAGCTTCAAGTGCCCACTCTGATGGGTGAGGTTTTTTGTTCAAACTAAGTGTTTCTGTTTCTTTCTGAAGGATAACGGTTACATTCAACATCAATAACAGCATTCCACCCTCGGCTGAAGACGACACACAAGAAGGGCAGAAACCTGATGAGCAGGAGGTAACTTAACCTTGATGTGCACTTTAGTGAGGGGGACAGAGGAGAGTTGGAACCTTTCCCTCAAGTGTTGAGGCTTTTTGCCCCCCTCGCTTGATATTTGGGAGCATTAAGCCACAAAATGCAGGTTTTTCAGGCCTGCCTGTTGCTTGGCTGTGACCCTCCTCTCTGCTGCAGAAAGTCAGAGCAGGGTGAGAAGGCTCTACAAGGAGAGATTTAAGATGCTCTGAGACCTTCTAGCATCTTCCAGTGCCTAAAGGGGCTACAGGGGAGCTGGAGGAGGACTTTGGACATGGGCAGGGAGCAACAGGATAAAGGCTTTTAACTGACAAAGGGCAGGGTTAGGTGGGATATTGGGATGAAATTCTTCTCTGTGAGGGTGGGGAGGCCCTGGCACAGGTTGCCCAGACAAACTGGGGCTGCCCCATCCCTGGAAGTGTTCAAGGCCAGATTGGATGGGGCTTGGAGCAACCTGGGCTAGTGAAAGGCATCAGGGAATAACCTCTGCTGGATGGGCTGTGTGGTTGTGCTGTGATTGCATCAGCTCCTCTTCAGATTCCAGTGCTGATGCAACTGTTCTCTTTTTTTAGCCTGAACTTACATCAACTCCAAACTTTGTTGTGGAAGTAATAAAGGATGACACAAAGCAGACCCTTGTTCTGGACTGCCATTACCCTGAGGATGAGGTTGGTATCACTGTGTGTCACCTCTGGGCTGGGACTTGCTCACATTTCCTGCCTGACTGTGGTGTAGCTGTGCCCCTGTTGGGGTCTAACTGGTCTTTGTAGTCTCTTGCTTTTCTGAGTCTGCACAATAATGCACTCTCCTCTTATCTCTGTTTTTTTTTAATCACAAAAAAAAAGGCTTTATGTTTGCAAGACCACTGTTTGGAGAGGAGATGTTCCATGGCATTCCTCACATCCTGCCCTGGTGTTTCTGATCAGCTGCTTGTTGGGCTGTTTATTGAACTACATTAGAGCAGGGAGGCAGGGCTGAAATCATGGCAACTTGGGAGGGGTGAGCAGGAATGGCCAAGCCAAGAGATTTAATACACTGTGCCAGTAACTTGCCAATCAGTGTTGTGAGGTGTCAAAAGGAGAAGTAGGGGCTAAAAAAAAAATGTGGGAAAAAAATTAAATGGAGAGCTTTTGTTCACGCTGAACTTTGTGGTTTGCTTTGTAAATGTTAACTGGTATTTCTGCAGCCAGTCCTGCCTGACAAAGGTGAGACAGGTGTGGGAAGACAGATTTAGAACCACAGAGGTTTTTATTTGTTTGTAAAATTCAGGCTGTCGATTTACACCAGGTTGCTTCTGGCAGGAGCTCAAGGAATTCCCTGTGTTCTCCTGCGTGGCTGTGCTTGTCCTCACAGGCACGTGTGGAGAGGGGAGAGGCACAGCTTGTCTGGCCCTGGGGGTTTGCCTGCAGCATTCCCAGCCTTGGGATGAGGTTGGCTGAGCATGCCCAGTCACTGGAGCTAGTTGTGTGTCTCACATCTCTTTTCCCGTTCCAGATTGGCCATGAAGGAGAGGAGGAAAGCGATATTTTCACCATTCGGGAGGTCAGTTTCCAGCCCACTGGAGAGTCCGACTGGAAGGACACCAACTACACCCTCAACACGGATTCCCTGGACTGGGTAGGTGCTGCTCCAGAGGGGACTCTGTCCCTTGGCTCCCAAACTGGGAATGAAAGTGGATGTCTGAGAGAAGGATTCCCCTGTTCTGCCCAGCTTCCCGTGGGGTGGTGCTGCTGCAGACTGGGGGTTGTTACCGTGCGGTGCCGGTGACATTCCAGACACAGACACTGGATTTCCTTCTGCTCCAGGCTTTCTAGGCTGATTTCACACTGGAGATGCTTTGACACTCGCTCAGCATCTTCTGATCCTTGTGTTTAACTTATATTTGTTTAACAATGTAGCTTATCAGATACCATGTGTAGATAAAGGCATCTGTGGGGGGATCTGATAAGCTACATTGTGTCCTGGTTTTCCAGGTGTGTTGTTACAGCTGTAACACTAAAAATTAATATTCCCCAAGAATCTGGCATCTGCTTATGTTCTCAGTGCCAGGCTTTCAGAAGCTTGAATTGTTAGTTTGTGGCTGTCTGTCATACAGTTAAAACTTTATTCCTAGAGTATATCCCTCTGGGAAGCACTCGTGTTAAAACTGGTTAGTGTGCCCTAGAACATCCCACACTGCTTTTTCTTTTCCCCTCTCTGGCAGAAAATGAATCAAAAGTGTGTATGAAACAGAAACAAACAAAAGTTCATGATTGTGAAGGGCTTAGGTATTTCAAACAAACATTTACATGAGATACCACCTTTCCACAGTGTTAAGCAGTTCACCCCCAAGGCCGTGGCTGTTTGTGGAGGGACAGGCAGAGCTTGGCCTCTGTAATCCTGACAGACTCACCTGGTGGCTCCCAAAGGCTGTGGATCAGCTCGTTTGTAATGTTGTGTTTGGGTTTATATGACCTGTTCCATGGCACCTTCCCTCCAAATGTTCCACTCAAGGCCAGGCCCAGCAAGAAGGGAATGCTCTCCTGTGGGAGCTGCCCCTGATCTTCCTGGGAGGAAGAAGTTCCAGCAGCCAGGGGACATTTTAAAAGCAACCCCTAGCCAGGTCCACTCTGTTAAGGAAGTTTCCTGTTCCTTGCTTCCAGGCTCTCTATGATCACTTGATGGATTTCCTGGCTGACAGAGGAGTGGACAACACATTTGCTGACGAGTTAATAGAGCTCAGCACTGCACTGGAGCACCAGGAGTACATTAAATTCCTTGAAGACCTCAAAAGCTTTGTCAAATGCCAGTAGGGTAGGCTAGGAAATTTATCTTCAAGTGTGGGTATTCCACAGTGCTGCTTCATCCAGCAATGCCCAAATGTATCTTCACAGTGGATACAGAGAGTAAGTAAGTTGGAATTTGGAGAATGGGAGAACGAGGATTCCCACTTGTATTTGGGGATTTGTATTTATGTTGCAGCCCAGATCAAGTTCACTGACGTCACAGTCTGGAATTGCCTTGCCCTGCGTGGTGGGTTTTGTACAATTAAGAATGAATGTGAAGAATAAAAACTGTTCAACATATCACTGAAAAAGGTGGTTTCTCTTCTTCCTGCCATGAAAGTGATGCCAGTGTTTGTCAGCTGCAAACTTCCACTCTTAGCTGGTGCTTTTAGTTGTTGCCTCAAGTTTATTTAAGTTTAAACACCTGAAGTCCAAGATGAGCTGTGAGATCACTGATGCAGAGTGAAAGACAACACAAAGGCCAAAATAAACTAAATATATTTATTTCAAAATAAATGTGCCATTAAAAGTGCAGGTCAAGGCAATACTACTGCCTTTAAAAGTGTCTCTCTGACACAGCAGGTACAAGTATATACACAACAATCCTTAGCAGCTCTGTGTGGATTTTAGTATTGAAGTCCCTCCAGAAGTAAAGCAGCAGCTGAATCAACTTAGAGAAGAATTGTCCAGGAGTCACAGACCTTTACAAAAGGTAAGTTGAACAGAGAACTTAATTAATGTGTAAAATTCAGAAGTATCTGAGCAGGAACAACTATTCAAAACTATTGATTAGGAAAAAAATTCACAACAGGGCTGTCAAGCACTGGCAGAGGCTGCCCAGGGCTGATCCCTGGAGGGAGTTAACAGACATGGATGTGGCACTTGGGACATGGGTTAGTGGTGGCCTTGACAGTGCTGGGGGAATGGCTGGACTTGAGCTAAGGGGTCTTTTTCCAACTTAAAACAATCCCATGATTCTATTTAAATGCTCTGTTCCTTTCACTGTCCTCACACTGGTTTTCCATACACAGCAAAGCACCTGCCAGCTCTGGCTTGAGCCAAAAGGGCTGGTGTGTGTTCTCTAAGGGCTCTGGATGAACCTTTTGAGGAGGCTTAAACTGAAGTAATTCTTAAAATTTGTTTCTTCATGAACCACTTATCTGAACAGATGCTCCACACAAGACTTGCAGGTTGTTGGCTAAGGTGTGACAGAGGTAAGGCACTAAGTTTGACAGGAGCTTGAAAGACTCCCTAATCCAGCAGTTAAGGTTTGTACTTTGGCTCTTCTTTCTCTGCTTTTTTACCAGTACTGGTGGTCAAAGGTAAAGCCATTTCCAAGGAATTTTGTGAAAAAACAACCCCATAAACCCCTGGGATCAATGGACTTGTGGTTTCTGCCCCTGTAATTGAGAAGTGGATCCAAGCAGAGATCCTCTCCAGGAACCTGACACTGGGACTCACCGGACAGCTCATGAGAAGACTGGTTTCGTCCTCCATGCCACTGGTCACTGTGAACTCTGGGCTGTGGAAGCACCTCTGACTGTGCTCTGTCACAGTGCTTTCCAGGAGTGACCGAAGCTTCCCTTCTGTCATATCCTGAGAATAATGGATTAAAAGTCATCTGAAGTTGCTCTGTCACTTAAACTGCCTCTTAAAACAGCAGCAGAGGTGTCACATGTAACATGTCACAGCTCAGCCTACCTGGGTGCTGATGTACAATCCACACTGGCAACAAACCATGTGAGTCTTCACAGTCAGGTTATTCCTGGAAAGAGCAAAAACCCTGTTAGATTTAGGAGATCATTGCTCCGGTGTTTTATCTCGTTAAAATGAACAGCAGCCTCTCTCTCTCCACTCTCTTAGGGGAGTGGAGGCTCTCCTTCCAATGCCAAGGGCTTTCTTACTTCCTGCACACGGGGCAGATGATCCTGTCAGTGGCATCCAGGCCCTCCAGCATGGCATTGAGACACTCCTCATCAAACCTCAGGCTCCTCTCGTACTCCTCGATCACCAACTGCTCTGCAACAGCACAGCAAAACACCCTCAGGGACTGTCCTGGCAGCACAGGCACAGCTGCTGAGCACACAGAGCCTGGGGGAGATAAGAGTTTCTAGGAACTTTTATCCCTTTGGATCAGATTTCTACACTTGCTGAAATAATTCCTGCTAATCCAGTTTTTCCTATGCCTCGGCTGGTCTCACGTGGCTCTCTCCCTAAATTGATTTATACAGCTCCCAAACACCTCAGTCCTGCTTCTCTGGCCTCTCTCACAGACCTTAAAATTTCATTTAAACCCTTAAAAGGGTCTGAATACCTCAAAGCCTCAACAGAGAAGTTACCAAGAATTTCCAAAGAGGCTCTTCCCCTGTGTCACGAGGTCCAAGGAGTGCAGCCTCAGCTATTCTGCATTACTAGGAAGTCTCCTGAATATTACACACCAAATAGGAACCAGAAAACTTGTAGAGCCCTTACCTTGCAAGATCAATTCTTGCTGGATCTCCTCCAGCACTGCCAGCTCATCGGGGTCCTCTGGCATCTGAAAGTGAATCAGTCAGTGATTCTCCCATTCCAACCACTCTCACTTAACTTCCAGCACCTGACTGAGCTGTCACTGCAGCATAAATTCAGTCTGTTTATATCCCTGTGTTGGCAAACCATGTGCTGTGGAAAGCAATCTATACTGTAATCACCTGTGCAAACCCAGCCAGAACAGATCCGAGCACAGCCTGTCCAAGAACTTGCTTTTTTGTGTGACTTAAGTTTCGTTCCCATTCTCAGGAGGGGGAAGTGACACAGCACAGATGAGGAACCCACCCTTTTGCTCTGATTCACAGGCTATTTGTGAAGGAAATAAGGAATTCCCCACTCATGGGCCCAGAGGCACTTTCACAACTCAACACTCTGCACTAGTTGTGGAACCAGGAAACCCTGAAGCTCTGAGTTTGTCAACTCCAGCGAGAGACTGAGTGCAGAACCGCAGAGTATTCGATACTCCTGCCTCTCACACAGGCCGTGCGTTGGTGCTGCAGACCCAGCGGGAGCCCTCACTGACCTGCTCCAGCGGCTCCTGTCCCCTCGGGCCGGGCAGGCTGTCCCGCAGCTCCCGCCACTCCTGCTCCATCACCTCCTGCACCAGCAGCGCGCCCGGGGCCGGCCCGGGGCGGGCCCCATCCCCGGCCCGGCGGTACCGCTCCAGCAGCTTGGCCCGGCTGCTCCTCAGCCGCTCCAGGCAGCGCTGGGGGACAGAGGAGAGAGCAGGGGGATCGTCAGAGCCGGGGGCGGGACACGGGGGGGTCCCGGGGGGCTGCACGGGAGAGGGGTGACACTCCCACCAGGGGTGGGCGGCAGCGCTGGGCGCTCACAAGGGGAGTTCGGGACAGGGCTG